GAGTCGCTTTTCGTTGGATGCGATTCAGAGGGAGAAGCTGGTACTGAGGTGCCAGGAGATGAGAACAGTATTCCATATGCGGCCAGACTTATAAAGCTGAAGGCAATGGGCCGGAGTGAAATACCGCCTCGATCTGTTCAGCACACCGAGCTTCTTCTAGGCCAATTTGACTTTACCCTCTAAGTGACCCCGAAACTGGACTTCGCTCGGTCCTTATGTCGATGCTTAGGATCCCGATGCTCCCTGAGGCAGTTCGAGATATGCTCTCAAACCGAGGTGATACGACAAATGGTATCTTTTTGCGGTGAACGCACAGACTTGTGTCTTTTTTGGGTTAAACTGGACTAGATTTTACTAAATCTAGTCCAGTTTAACCCAAAAAAGACACAAGACACAGGTTTCACTGGTTTCACCAGGGCCTACTGGCCCCAATCTGAAACCTTCGCTAAGGAAGTTTCAATTTCAGACACAAGTATGTTTCGACTCTCGATGACGTTTTGATGAAATATTGGGGCGGCCGGTGTAAAGGGCATCTCCCGTGTTATCATCTGCATAGCAATGTAGTGTGCAAAATGTCATTGATATGCAGAAGAAACAGTGTGGGTGATAGCACACAGCTTTGTGGGAAAACAGCATTTACGAATTACGAGTCGGAGCATGCACCGTCGACAATGACCTTAATGCTTCTGTCCGCAAGGAAACTGGTGACCCAATTACACAATTTCTCTGGAAGCCAAAAGGAAGGCAGTTTCGGAGAAGCGCCTTATGCCAGACCCGATCGAAGGCCTTCGCTATGTCCAAACCAACCGCACAAGCCTCCCCTTTGGTCTCGATCGGCTGTGCCCAGCGGTGTATTAGAAAGACAAGAAAATCACCAGCTGAGCAAAAACCATATTGTCGGTCATTGAGTAGCTGGCGATCATCCAAGTACCGGCGGAGCTGGCAGTTGATTATGGATTCCATAATCTCAGAGAACAAAGGAGTTATGGCTATAGACCGTAGTTGCAGAACAAAATTATAGTCCTCAACTGTTTTGACTAATTGGAGAGGTTGTATTACTATGAGTAATGCACGACCACAGAATACCGCAAAATAATTACAGTTCAAAGTATTATAATACCATTTCGCTTAATTGTCTCCGTTGAGTAAACCCAGAATAACTTTATTTGTGTTATTTTCACCGATCGTCTTCACTATATTTTAAAATATTCAAACCCCACATGTTTTAATAGATGTTCAGCGATTAGACTATTATTGGAGATACTTGTCTAATCGCATTCCGCAATCAAACAACTACGAGTACTAACTACTAGCTGTTTTTCCTTTATTCCAGAGCAGGGCCTTAGGCCGGCCGTATAGGTGGTGTTTAGTGGCAACACCATATTTTCCTGGCTCCAATGTGTCCCCAAGGAGCTGGAGATCCGCAACGATTTTCCACCCAATCATCAAAAAACAGCTGTTTTAATTTAAAAAATAGTCTTCAGGCGTTATAGTGTTCATTATAGTTATATAGAACCATATAATTAGATAAAAGGCCTGTATAAACGAAAAGGGTAGAACCACTAGATGACGCGGACCTATCGTACTCAGACCAGCCTTTTTGAAGACAACACAAACAACAAATACACTTTACGTTACTGTCAAAACATTATTTACCTGCAAGATGGTTTAAAGATCATTGATTTGTTCTGCTTTCCAGTACCAAAAAAAAAATAGAATCGTTTTACCCTTAGTGCATTATTTAATGCTCTATGCTCATACTGTTTTATTTCAGAATATCTATAGAAGTCACAATACTCTTTTTACCTTTAAAGTTCCTTGTCATGCCATCTGTTGATAGATAAAAGCATTTTTTGTACTCATCTTTTCTTTGTGTATATTTTCTAATAGAGGACACTGCCTACAGTTTTGTTGTACTTATTAAAGCTACTGAAATAAAATAGGTGGCATTGTTTTTACGTTAAATTTTAATAAATAACAGTTTAATTTAACCGAAGAGGTTAAATCTAGGTAAAAGTTATTTCTTCATCGAAACTGTGGTCAGAACATCGAGAATAATTATATATATTTTGAGGAATTACGAATATACTTATACCATGATAGCGTTGCGATTTTTTACAGACATCGGGTACAGGGTCGGACTGACCGTGCTCAAGGAATAAGGATAGCTAGGAGGGTACTAGGAGGGTACTAGAGGGTGCCTTTCGACTTGTAACTGTTGTATGAAATGAAATCGTTTAATACATTGAATTAAAGTTATTAAACAACAATTTACTGGAAAAGCTAGACTCACTAAGCAGTCTGCGTACGTACCGGGATTTTACTAGGCACTTACTACTATGGTTTCAACTTAACTGGTAGTCAGTTAGTATTCTACAAGCCAGATTAAAGAGGTGAGGCAGAAATAAAATACTTTATAATTTTTATGATTATCATATTATTTAAACAATCATTCATTAATTACAATAATTTTAAATTGATGATATGTACCTATCTATGACAAAATAGTAAGCCTTTTTGAACTATTGGAAAATGATACCATGAAATAACAATAATAACACGATAAAAATAATTGAAGCACTCGTTAAAACACGAGTGCAATTTATATTGAAAGAGTAAAATCAATAGTAGAAACATACATGAACAATAAAGAGAAAGAAATAGGTAGGTATATCGAATATCAATTTGACTGTGCACAGTTTAATTTTGCAATGTCTTTGCTAGTGATTGTGACGATACATTGAACATGCTACCATTAAATTAAACATACAGAATTATTCTTATTTTAATTTTATTTACTTTCACGAGTGAGTAACCTTATAAGAATTGGCTCGCCCAAAAATGTATTTAGTTACGCCAGTCTACGGGTGTCGTAAGAGCCGACTAAGGGAGCAAACTACGCAAAACAATAGCACTGCAAAGAGATAGAAAACTTGACACAAACCCTATAGGTACCAACCCGTCTGGCCAGTGCAGTAGGCTAAAACCTCCTTTCTAAGGAGGTACCTATGTCTAGCAGTGGACTTTAAAGGCTTATGATGTAGTCTAAACACAGACTAGACATTTACAACGAATGTATACCTCGTTACTCGGCGTTGTCATGACCATCGTGTTGTAAGAGTACAGGAAACCTTTGGACGAGCTCAATTCTGAGATTTTTTCACTAAGGTCTAAATTACTTTTAGGTTCGCGTACTATTTTTAAGGAAAGAGTTTAGTGTAGGGGGTTCATTGATTGACCTAGTGTGCTTTTGTCTTTTATTTTTTACTACTGTCCTTACTTTAATTAACATTTCAATACAAGAATTTATTATCTAGTTAATTTATTTTGACATCAAATCATAAGGTTTCTGCAATATTATTTATCACTGGAATATAGTAAATTATGTATATCAAGTGTCTAAATTTTCAATACTATACTTTATACATATTAGATATATAGCGGAAAAAAAGTTATTTACACATTGAAGCTCAGTCTACTACATTTTTATGCTATAATGCAGAAGTCGCTTAAACCATATCAAAAGATCTATTCAAACGATCAAGTAGTTCAATAATATAGGCCAGATGTTACAAAACACGTTAATTGCAATTATTAAATAAAATCCTCAAAGCAATGAGATACCCATTGACAACATGAATTTATTTTCTATTTAGAAAAGAAAAAAAAAGAAATATTACCATAGTTTTAAAGGCGACCTAACAGTACATAGACATAATAATATGGTGTTTATACTTTCTCTATTGTAAACGTATAATCGAGATAAGTCCTTTATATAAAATAAGCCACCTTTAGCTTCAGTAATATTCTATTGAACCAAATTGTTTATACATAGATATCTACGGTGAGGAATTTCGCTGAAATTGTAGATTGCAGCACATGGCTTATGGTAGGACGTGCGCGTATTGATTTAGAATTTTGTAACATCCAGAATATAACAGTTTGTAATCTACAAAGGTATACAGTTCTATACATCGGAACATGACAACTGCCACAATATAGCCAAAAACTGCAGTAAAAAAACATAATTAAATCAAACTATCACAGTAGACAGATCATTACCTGAAGAGTGCACTTTCTACTTTTATCATTTTTCATAAAAATTTATTGCACAACTATATAAATTTATTCACATCTAAATTTAACATTTAATCTTAAACTCTACAGACGACCCAAGGTTTGACATTTGATTTTAAACACCTACTGGCTGTGTCACAGAAGTTCATGAAATGAAAAGACAACCAGGAAAGAACTTGCTTACCAACATTACACAGTGAGAACATTTACACAGCGTCTTTCCACCAATACAATGTTCTTGGTGAAAATACGCTGTCATTATTCATAAATGTCTACTTTCTTATCTTTGGATTACAGTCCAGGTATCCACTAGGTTATTGATATAATATTAGAAAAAAATACAGAAAGACATAATTCAGGTACTTATAGATTTCATTCCAAAAAAACTAGCAAGAATTTTTGTTAACCTAAGTGAAAGTGTGCTACTATGTTTAAATGGCACATTAAATACAGATATTTTAACAGTTCCATTGCTGCAAGAATACGATACTTCCATATATATATATAATCTAAAGGAGTGTTTCAAACGATTATCAATAAGAATTTTCTTCGAAGATAGTTCTTAAAAATGATTAGAGCTTTATAATATAATTACAGCTATTTGATAGCCAGCTCAATCTCCTTGAACATAAATACGTCTGGAATAAAACAGTGCTCTTGTAACTAATATAACTGTGATATATGTATATATTATAACTTTGCTAGGGCATTTTTAACATTGAAAGGAATTTAATAAATTATAAATTTTGGGCCCCGTCCTTTGCATATTAAGAAGATCATAATTTCAAATATTTTTGATCATAAACAGTGTGCTTGTCTACTATGTTCGCGTTAAACATGCCGTAACAAAACAAAATTTCTCGAAATGAATACTCATGCATGAATACATATACATGTATACATTAACGATTTCAGCCGACGTTTCACTCGTCGTCGTTGAGAAGGTCTGTGCATGATTTAGCTTTGGTTGATCTGAAAATTAAAAAGAACATCTTTAGTTGTATTTACAAACTCTTAACATTACATATATTTATATTTACATACATTACATATAAAAGAAAAAGCAGGTGGTAGGTAGTCAAATCATGGTAAAACATTTTAGTCGCGTTCCAGCATTTAACTGTTTACCTAAATTAGTCTTGTCTGGTCATAAGTCTCTACAAGTGAAAAACTTATTTTAAGTTTACAAGTTACAACGATAACAGTGAGAAAGATAAGTGACCAAGATGAATAGTAATGGTAAACGTGTATATGTGTAACAGAAACCAATTAAATTTGCCATAAAATTCTTAAGTACGTTGCAATTATAAATGACCGTATCGGATGAAGTATGAATTGAATTTAGGATGAGGTAAAAATAAAATGTATGGACAACAAAGCTTATTAATGAAAATAATTCTGGCCTTAAAAGAACAGAAATTCGACAGAATAATTATCAATGTATTCAATTATTGATATCACTTTATTAAACTTGGATCCTCATTTGCTTGTATTATTGTAAGCCAACTAACACATTTTTTAGGAATATAAAAGATATATGTAACGTTTAAGGATAATATAGAATCATATTGTTAATATTTAAGCTCTGTGTCTCTATATAATACGAGTAGGTAAGTAAAAGCAAACGCTCACAACTAGTTACAAACATTTTTCCGTATACAATTTCGCTAGGAACAAACTTGACAGAGAACAATAATGTCGTTTTGCGGGCGTATTATTTATCGAAAAATATTACAAAGCTGGTAAATTTCAAAAGGACAATATTTCATTTTATCATTATTTAATTGATAAGCAAAACATCTATTGTTTTATTAACATTATTGACAAAAATGCACAAAGTATTATGTAATATTTTGATTAAGATCAAGTAGGTACCTACGAAAACAATCATACATTGTGTCATAACTAACTAACTACATTAAGCTATGCTGCTTACGAAAATATAACTACATAATATATATTTTGTACGTAAGTATTTGACAAATGTCAAGATGCACATTTCGTTGCCTATAAAGAACTGTTTAAGAGTAAGAATAGATATAATAGAATAAATTTATTGTGCACTAATTTTTTTATTCGTTTGTATGTAGTATAAATATAAATAACGTTAAGGATTCTTATTTAATAAATCCTCTATAACATATTGGCTATGGGTTTACATGCCCATGGCCATGTTAGGTAAATATGATTAGCATTTAAATGTGTGCGTTTGACGTCACACGATTTCGAACTCAATACAGTTGATGCAATACTCTTAGTTCTGTGGTTTCCCCTTTCGGTGATACTAACCACAATAATTCATTCATAACACTTTTATACTAACCGTTTACCTCACTAAATTATTTTATAGCGTAGACAGCATGCAATAACATGTTATTTTTATGTAGAGAAATAGTGACGGCAATGCATATTTATTTACTCTTTATTTGTTGTTTTTTCCTTTGTAATGTTTTTGGGAATTCTATAGGATTAATACAAATATTTAGAAATTTAATTGGTCTTTAACCACAAGGATTATGTAATCACTTAGAATTTTTTAAAACAAACATGTCTAGAGCAAAAATAGCTTTATATAACTTTTTTTCAATTGAAATTAAATTTCAATCACAATAAAATTATGTATATAATCAACAGCATTTTAATGGCCACTTGTGTAAAAAAACATTTTCGAGCTACCAGTTCCCACCACACGAATCGTAAATACAAAGGCAGGCAAAGACTTAGCATCACTTTCGATCCTCATAATTATAAGCAAACAAAAAATTATATTATCTTAGTTGTATTGAATTACAATGGATTATAACCTATGTTGCTTCTTTGTTGCTTGTAGAACATAAATAGATAAAATTACTTACTGCGGATTTTTCACTCTCCGGCATACTCTGAGCTCGATGGGTCCGCTGCGCACCGATTTGAATAACGCTAGAGCCTCTACATGGGCTAGCTCATGACAAGCCTGGCCGTTTACCGCCAACACCTCATCACCTGAAAAAACAATTAACACAGGTAAACAAACCTATATTCTATCTTTAAAATATCTTTTTCTTTTTGTAGTGTATGTAATACGTAAACTCCATAATGAGAAATGGATCCAAGTCAATTACACTTTTTTGGCAAAATACTTAACTAGTTACATATGTATTTATATGAAGTGAATATGGTTAAGACAATTTTGTCATAATAATTTTTAAACTCTCGGCTTTCCGTGATGTTTAATTACTCCTACGGGAATTAATTTATCGGTGGATATCTGAAGAAACTTTTACCGCTATTGACGAGGGTCAGTCAGCTTAGGACGGCCCGTTTAACTGAGTATGATAAATTAATTATTGAAGTGTAACCCATGTTAAATATATTTTAGGATCTAGTTGACATCAGTATAAAGATTGCTAAGACTTTTGTAGTATAAAATATTTAGTACCTATGGGCTATATATTGGCTACGACCGCAGCGAGTGCTGGCCATCAGGATCATAAGGGGGTACCGCACGATCTCGTTTGAGGCAGCGAGTTTCCTGGCTGGAACTCCACCGTGTGACAAGGAGGCGAGACACCTTGTGGCTTTGTATCAGTGGTGGATTCATATATTCATATCAGAGGCGCGGGAGTTGGGTCGGAGTTCTCAGACTCAAGAAATCGTGATCCAGCAATACCAACGCCTCGTGGCGGCCATCGAAGAGAGAATTCTCTTGCTCGGTAACATGGCGGAGTAGGACCGGTAGAGGTTTAGAACTCTCCCGCCTGGGAACGGACCAGGTACTACCGACGACTCAGAAGCCGGAGGTCGCAGAACGACCTCCGTCCTTAATAAGCGCAGGCCGGGGGGTGGCAGGTCAGGCTATCTGTCACCCTAGCAGAAGCAGGCCAGGGTGGTGGAGGTGGAAGCGCGCTCGCCCTTTTGGGAGCACAAAGGGGAGGGAAATGGGGTTCCTACACAGGCGTGGGGTCATCTACACGCCGTAGATGGCCCGAGGTACGTCGGGGTACCAAGGATTTTCTTTCTAGGGTGCACCTGGTTCCCCGGCAACTGGTACCCGAGAAGGCGTGCGGTTTTAGTCTGTTCGAGTCCGACATAACCACCTCACTGGTGGGTGATGGATTTCAGCACATAAAAAAGAAAAAAAATAAGAAAATCTTTTTTATGGTACGTTGCTGTCCTGTGAGTGCCCTAATTGTAATTAGCAATTACAGATTTGGTTACCACCGGTTCGTTGTCAGACCGTGGTATCACTCCTCCCCATATATACCGAAGCATAGTTCTCTCACGCTAGTTGACACATAAGATTTTATTTTTTTTTAAAGTAAAAAAGAATCCTCTGAGCCTTTTTTTCTCAAACTACTACTACGATAGACTGAACTTGGATCTTTTACGCGGGGCCACTGCCATCAGACCTCCTTAACCCAAGTCCCAGGAAGGCGATATCGAAGTTCTGTAGGAAGCCTTTTTAGGGCTCCATTTACCCGTAACGATTGCAACAGATATTCGTATGGCAACCGTTCCGGTTGCTGAACGTGCTCTCAGAGGCACGGAGGATTTCAATATGTTAAGAGTAACCCTGCCACACACTGACCTAGCTAGAATTCATTAACTTTGCCTACTCAGTTACCACTTAGCCTCGAGCCCCTCTATATATCTCTATAAAAAATATCTAGAAATAAATATAGTTTACATAATATTTCGCTATGACTCTTTAGTTACATACAAAATAAGTCTACCAACGGCATCGCGGCATTTAAATGACAGTGTTTCTAAATCATCACAATCTAATATCATTTATTTAGTATTATTTGCATGTGACACAATTTAGTAACAGAATTGAAATGACATTGAAACCATTTCATAGCACCTAGTGGCTAATTAAGTTTTAAATATATTATGTCACATTTAATTATGATAGGTTAAAGTTCATACTGTGTGTACTAGACGCCGCCTTTCGATAACACTTGACCTGACATGTATAATTGTGGCATTACACATAAATCGTTTTAACATAGACAAAGTTGTATGTGACTAGTATGTACAATAAGCCAGGGTGTTGATGTAATGCTTTGTTATTATAAAATTTCACCGAACGGCCATGATTTAGTATCCTTATCATATTACATTCCTCAATGCTTGTTTGAACGACAGGCATACAAAGTAGTAGCTAAATAGTGCACTGATATGAATGTAAGTAGTACAAAGAACATTTTTCTTATGTTTTGTATTTTAAAGTACAACATTTATTGTTCCAATACCAATATTTTATGCGCCTGTATCTAAATTGATAAGGCACTTCTGTGACAAGGTTTGTTCTTCTAAACCCTATTTAATTTATTATAATATCTGACTCTTTGTTTTAGTAAAAGTTATAATTTTTCTCTTATATGTACCTACATAAAACATATTTACTTAAACTTCTGTTTAAAAATTAATTTACATTCATAAAATTAAGTTATAAATAATGTCATATTTTGAAAATCTAAAAATTAAATAATAAACACACAAATACATACCTGCTTTCAGTCTTCCATCATCAATTGCTTGCCCTTGTGGAAGAATACTTTTAATAAATATTCCAAGTGGACCCCTCGGTGAGTCGCGACCTCCCACTATGGTGAATCCAAGAGGTTTCTTTCCGTGACCCTTTTCGAATGTGATCGTATGGTACGTGTGTGTAGGAGCCCTTGGTCTCCGAGGTAACGTGCAAAAGTTAGCAGTATTTGGCGTCTGTGTTTCACTTTCACTGTCATCTTTACACTGTGTTCTTTCAACGCCATCCGGAGTATCAACATTGACATTGATGTCACTGGTACAACTGAGAGCGAGCCCGTCTTTATTAGCGCCACCATAACTCACGACTTGTCGGCGCAGCAGCTTGTTATTCATACTGCTGTAACTCGCGTTCTGTCCTTTGAGGAAGTGTGAATGCGAGCTCGGACTGCCGTCGGTCGGCTCGTCCGCTGCTGATAGCGCGCTATGATTACATGCGGACTCGTCCTGCGACCGACGTCGGTCTGTCCTGACGTCACTTTTATCAACGCGTTTTTCCTTACCTAAAATTATAGCGTTCTCGTAATCCACCGAGCTCTCTCGCATTAATATAATTCGTCTTTTAGATGATTCTCTGTGCCTAATGTCTGATGAGATTTTGTCGCGCTGTCTACAGATGACTATATCAATTTCAGATGCACCCGATTTTAGGGCTTCTTTGGCTTCAGGCATGGTCAGGTCACGGAGCCGCCGACCGTTGACATTGAGCAATTCATCTCCTATGCGTAGAGTCCCTTCTCTGAAAAATGAAAATATATACATATAATTTTTTTACATTCAGGATTAAATGCTACTACGGGAAAATATACTAATATTCTTACAGCTTTCTATACTAGAATTTCCAGTCTAATTTTAGTTAAATTTTAGTAAATGGTATTAAATATTAAAATGAATTCTATATACTCACTTTTCGGCTAACCCACCAGGTATCACATGAGCAACTAAGTACCCTATGTGGCCTTCGTCACTTAATCTTGTTTTGGCAATAAATATTCCAAGTTCATCGGAAGGACTATTCTTCATTATCCTGACTACTTTAAATTCTACACTTGTAATGTCAGACTTATTAGCTTTAGGTGGCTTTCGACACGGCGGGATGGGAGGGATTCCAGAATCCCGAGTAGCATCTCTCTGACGCATCTTCTGTTTTTCAGTTAGTTGTAGATATTGAGGTTCCTCACATTCAGTTTCCTTCTTTGGCATACGCCTAAGAATCTCTTTACGATCAAGTGACAAAGCTCTTTGGTTATGTCTAGGTCTCGGTCTAGGACAACTTCGTTCTCTACTCATTCTACCTGAAACCCTAGTTTTTACATAACTTTGGTCACCGGACACACTTCTACTATGGCAAGGAACTAAATTGTTTGATTGTGAAGCGGAACTTTCACATCGAGAAGAAATTCTGTCACTGTCAAAAATAGAAGATGCTGCTGATTCATTGACTAATATTCCAGAATCCGTATCATCACAATCTTGTATTAAGACATTCTCATCGTCACAAGATATCTGATAAACATCATCGTGAAATACAGAATGACCTTTTTGGAACTCCTCTAATCCAGGCAAGGCACCATAGGAGAAACTACGTAGTTTTGCTTTAACTCCTCCTTTTTTCTTGCGACTTTTAACTCCACTGGTAGACTTTAAAATGTTCTCATTACTGGTGTTTAAGTCTTCATCATTTTCTCCATTCTTATGATAAAGTTTTGAAAGAAATCTGTTTGTTGATGATTTAAGGTACCTATCAGACATAGCTCTTAATTTTGCTGATAAACAGGAACTAGGCCCAACGGATTCCTTTCCGTCTTTATTCTTAAGCTTATCAGTCTTTTTAGAAGGGTTGAGAGCAACAGGCGTACTATCGTAATTTTCATAGTCATCGTTAAAGATTTGATCACTCGATTTAGAAAGTTTTGCACCGGCTTTTGGTATTGCATGATACCTATCACATTCGGAGCCAGAACTGTAGCAACGAGTGCCTCTGTTGGTAAAAGATTTACCTTCTCGCCAGTGACACTCTACAGGACTAGGCATATTTTTGGCGAAAAATACATCATCGTCATAATTGGGCATTTTCACCCATGGATTATGATTTTCGAATTCAATATGTGTATCAGCATAATTGTTCGTGTAACGACAATTAGCGACTTCTTCTACGTGACCAAATCCACTGCAATCACTTCCAGAGGTGGATGCTGCATCATCGCCATGTCGCAATGGACCGTTAGATTTAAAACATGATAATTTGGTATTCTTGACTTTATCGAGTAACGGGTTTCGTTTTTCTCGATATACCATATATTCTTTCTCCAGCGATCCTCCGCGGTTTTTACGTGATGTATTATAACTTTCCTGCGGTGAGGTAGGACCGTTTTGTAGTGATATACGGCGGCTAACTGCAGTCTCTCCTCCGCGGTGACATCGATGTGGAGATTTTTCCACAATAATTATTTGATCGTTGAGATTGTAGAAGTTAGTTTCCACAGAGCTGCTACTACTTTTTCTATTTATGCAGCGCTCAGGAGATATATCTGTAACGAAAACAAAATTACTGTTGTTAATACAAGAAATTGAAAGTAAAATGGAAAACACTGTGGATAGGTAGAAACTTAGATATGTGTAGAGAAAATGTAATTACGCTTAGCCTTGTGCATATTACAGTATTTTACCGGTCAATAATCTTCACTTTCTTTAGTAAATACCATATTTAACCAGAGCACTCCAATGCCGTTAAATAGAACACTACTGGATCCTATCCCTAGGGGTAATTGGACCTGGATATTGGGATTTTTGTCTGTTAATAATTATGATAATATAAACTTATAATTTATGCCTACATCTGATAACAACGATATGATATTTTAGCTATAAAATTGTAGTATATATAAATAAGGTTTTTTAAATAAAAAGCGAAAAAATGGGAATGAAAATCTTTTGAATAATTGAATTTAGGTTGCAAACGTAGTAAGTTTACTGTTTTATAAAAATGTCTCAAGAACGTGGTACCCGTTTCAATATCATTTGATCAGTAATTTGCACATAATTGAAAAACTTTTAAGTGATTATGAAATAAGGACTGCAACAATTGTTTTAACTTAACAAAGGTTATCAAACAGAAGAAGTAGAAGAGAAACTCGTCACACACACTTCAAATAAATAATAATAATAATTAATTAGTTGATTTAGATAAGTATTTTAAATATTCTATTAACTTACGTAATATATTATATCACATTTATTAAATTCCTTGCGGTCGTAGTTGTTATTTGCTGCGTATCAAGTTCGTTGATAATTACAATCTGAGTTTCTAAAGTATCAGTTGATTAGATACGGTAACACATATTTACGTTACTAAGGAGTCTCAAGGGAAAGTTACACTCCCTTTCCCTTACATATTACATTACCTTTCCCTTGCAACTTGTAGGATCGGGTGTCAGGTGATACGCTAAGATTTGATGCAACTAAAGTTAATCTTTTAGTAGGAAATTTGTTATTAGGAAATTCGTGGAATCCATTTGTGGCAGTTACTGACGTCTTTATACTGTTTATTTTCCCTAACGAGCAAAACAACTTATCCCTTTGAGGTAAAACCCGTGTTTCTATACAAGTGTCAACTAGAACAACTTCCTATTTTCTCTCTTTCTTTAACTGCAATCTGTTACATAACCATAAGGCCGTTTGCGTGATTATGTAAGGAAAAGGCTATTGACTGTCAATTAATGATGACAAATCGTGGTGTCCGTAAATAGTAGGTACTTCATGATGCTGTTTGTGTCTTTGAATACAAAGGAACACCACTAATCAATTATTTAGTTTACAAAGTGTTAACTTACTTGATATAGTTGTGTTGAGGGTGAAGCAAGTAAGTGAAATGTTTACCAATGACGTCAGATTTGATTTAAGTTATCTGGCTTGTAGGTTTTAGTGCTTAGCCATTTCTTTTGAGCAGTTTTGAATGACGGGCTTTACGCATGGCAAATAATAAAATCCATAAAAATATATTTTTTTTTTTTAAATTCAATATTACTTATTATGTCTGTGGTGTATCGAATAAAATGAAATTATAAGAAAACTTATGATTGGAGCAGTAATTATAAAGGTAAAATAAAGGTCAAGTAATGCGGCTAATGAAGCTGGTGATAAGCTTTGATACCTACCAAGGAAAAATGATCGATAAATCAGTACGATTACCGGTATTCAGATATATGGTGTTCCGGACACCATTACCGGCACTGTAACACCTTATCGCAGGCTGCTCAGTACCTTACCTAGGAGTGCAATACTCAACCCCAAGATTTTGTTGTCATAATATTACATTTGCACTGAATTCAATAATATTATTATTACATTGACATAACCAACTTCGGAAAGTTGTGAAAACTACATATTGTATATTAGTTATAATTTAATAAATGAATTAACAATACCGTAAAACTCACATTAGAACATTATTTAAACAGGAAAATCCTTGTAAGAAAGTATAATCTTGTTAACACGGCATGATCTCAACTGTCTATTTTTAGAATGCGATTGAATATGTGCCTGCACAAACCCTTTAAGCCTTTGATGTCTAAGCTTTAAATGCTTTACTATGATTGCAGCAGGCACGCATCAACTGTACAATAATGGATTTCAATAATGAAATTGTACGATATATTAAACTACGTCTAGTAAATTTGTTATTCACAAGAGGATGACAGTTTAAATAGTACCTTACATTCATATTATATAATAAAAAGAATAAGTCTAATAATTTCTCAATCAAAACTAAGGCTTTCTTTTTCAATACGCTTAAAACTAGTTGCCACATACACAGACTAAATATTTCAATAATATTTTATCTCAATGTTATCATTAAAGTTTGCAAAAAACCGGTATAACTTGTTTATGAAATAAATTTAAATGAAAATTAAATTCCGTTTTTTGGACAAGAACAATACTGGACTATAATTTTAAAGTGGATTATTAAAGAGCACTTTTATAAGTTGAAAAAAATCTTGAAACGTTCTGGCAAATCCATTTTTTTTTATAAATCGTTACTTATAGTTACTTAATTAATAGTTTCCCTTAAGGAAGAATTTAGATATTTGCACGATGAATTATATAAGGAGTTAGTTAAATGTAAATAACGACTACATTATTTTACTTCACATCAACATCACACATCAACAGCCTTGAATAGTCCACTGCTGGACATAGGCCTCTCCTTAGAAAGGAGGTTTTGGCCTACTATACCACGCTGGCCAGACGGGTTGGTATAGGGTTTCCCCCCGGGCTGGGTGTAATCTGTTACGCAGACGATACCCTCGTGACAGCCCGGGGGGCAAACTTCCAAGAGGCGGCGCGCCTGGCCACAGGGGGAGTCTCCCTGGTGGTCGGGCGCATTGAGGCGCTGGGCTTACGGGTGGCCCTAGATAAGACGGAGGCCCTGTTATTCCATGGGCCCCGTCGTGGTCCACCCCCTGGCGCCTCCATCGTGGTCAACTCGGTCCTCGTACCGGTTCGGGCCCAGATGAAATATCTGGGCCTGATCCTCGACGGTAGGTGGCTCTTCGACGAGCACTTCCGACAGCTTGCTCCAAAGCTGGTCGGCGCTGCGTCCGCCCTAGGGCGACTTCTGCCCAATATGGGTGGACCCAGCGTCGCGACAAGACGGCTGTACACGGGGGTTGTCCGGTCAATGGCACTGTACGGTGCACCGGTGTGGGCGGCGGCTCTGACCGCCCAGAATAGGGTACGCCTCTGGCGCCCTCAGAGGGTAATGGCGGTCAGAGCCATACGCGGTTACCGCACCGTTTCGACGGAGGTGGCGTGCGCGTTGGCCGGAACTCCCCCGTGGGATTTGGAGGCGGAAGTGCTCGCCGAGGTTTATCGGCGAGTGGCTGACTGCCGGGCGGAGAGCGGATTTCGCCCTCCGCCCGAGGATGTGCGCGAGTGGCGCGAAGCCGCTCGCCGAGCCACGATGGCTCGTTGGTCGTTCCGGCTGGAGACTCCACGCGCTGGCTTCGCCGCCGTGGAGGCTTTCCAGCCGGTCATCGCCGAGTGGGCAGGGCGGCAGCACGGGACCCTTTCCTTCCGACTGACGCAGGTGCTTTCCGGGCACGGTTGCTTCGGGAAGTACCTGCACACGGTCGCTGGGAGGGAACTGAGTCCCGCCTGCCACCACTGCGACTGCAGTGAGGACTCGGCCCAGCACACGCTGGCGGTCTGCCCCGCATGGGCGGCGCAGCGCCGGGCCCTCACTGCAGTCATCGGAGTGGATCTCTCGCTACCGGCCGTAGTACGCTCCATGGCCGGTAGCGACAGTTGTTTTACCGCGGTCGCAACCTTCTGCGAGGTAGTAATCTCGCGGAAGGAGGCGGCGGAGAGGGCCCGGGAGGACGACCTCCACTCGGACCCGATCCGCCGCCGGCGAACCGGGCGGCGGAGGCCCGCCTATCACAGCCTCATGCCGCCCTGAGTGTGGCCGCGGGTGGACGGGGTGGGTTTCCCCTCCACCCGCATTAGTTGGCCAGCCGCGAGGGGGCGGCGTCCGCGTGTGCCGGACGTCGCCTAAAGAGAGGAACATCCACATCGAGACGGAGCCCGCACCAGGAGCGGGCTGGCGCTAGGAGGGGTCCGGATGTCTTAACAACAGCTGTTCCCGGATCCCTCCTGTTACAGGCGCAGAGTGGCACACCGTGTGGTTTTAGTCGGTCCGAGTCCGACACACCACCCCGCCGCAAACCCCGGAGGGGTGACGGTCCGAGGGGATTTCCACACGTTAAAAAAAAAAAAAAAAAAAAAGGGTTTGTGTCAAGTTTTCCTTCTTTTTACAGTGCTGGTGTCCTGCGTTGTTTTGCGCCCTTAGTCGGCTCTTACGACACCCACGGGATGAATTGGGGTAGTGACATTCCGTATTCTTAATCCGTCACTACACGATTTTACTTACATGAGATAAAATATGGACGTGTTTACTCGATAAAACGTACCTTCTTGGACTATGCATACAAATCTTAACACATTATAATAAAAGCCAGTCCATGAATAGGTGTCTATAAAAATGCTATAAAATCCTTAACCCTATTAAGATAACAATTTATGTATTTATAAGAACCAGACGGAATAATTACAAAATATTCCAACAGTATAGTGATTTAATATTAATTATATTAATGATAACAATTGATTGATAGAATGGCTCACTAGCCCTTTTAAACAAGTGTAAACAATTCTGCAATCTTATCTTATAGTTTACGACTTGGATGTCTAATAGTGCATAACATCTCAATAGATATTAATTTGCTAAATGTAGGTTGTTGCTTATTGCGGCCTTACGTCATTTGTATTTCCAACAGACAATCGTCACAAAGTTCCCAGTTCAGCCTCAAATAACAAGCAGACACCATATAGCTATTGGACGTGATATCCTTATCCTCCTTTAATATTAAAATGAGCAATAGGTACGAGTATGTTATTTGGGTAAAAGTAGCTTAATTTTATTAAAATCCCTAAGATGAATATCTCTATCACCGGTGCAAATAGACGCATAATTTCAAACAGAGATTTTAACACACATAAATTAGTCTTGCAGCACATCTGCAGGCAAGATAGTTTTGCAAGAAACATTTAGTGTTTTATGCCAAGCAGCCTTCATATGTGATTCTTTCTTTCTTGTCAGCGAGTGTTATCTAAATATATTTAAGTCTGAGGTTGATTGTTGAGGTTGTCTAAGGTTGACACATCATTTTACAAAAATACTCAGAAGTATTAAGAAATATGTTTAACCAGTCCTGTTTGAACTCTTTAGATACTAGATTAAAACTGTTAATACCCATTCATATTTTGTCTGTTGGGATAAATGCTTGTAGATTTGTATTTAATACACTAAAAGGAAAAACCGTAAATAATAACCGTTTCAATGCAAGTTTAAGAATAAATTTGTGTGCTTTTTTGCTCGACAAATGTATCTTTAACACTTTCAGAGTAAAGATTAACTAAACTACTTGTTTCAAAATGAGACGGTGACTACCTGTAGTATTATTTGCGTAAAATGACATATTATGTAATAATGCATTGCATACGTAGAACAGTAATCTTTTGAACTTATTTCTAGTAAGATTTCATTTTACACCATGACATGTGTCAGGAGCGGTAAAGAAGGAATTTCAAGTTATAGTTATTTATAGATTACACACTACCTTCACATTTTCAGACGAAACTATTTTAATATACAGTAAAATGTAATTATAGTGACGTCGTGTGATGGTCTAGTCCGACAATATAAGGCTAAAACTTGATGTATACTAATAACCTATAGTTCATTAGAATAGAAGGTTACAATTAAGCGATTTGTCGAACTGAAGTTTTGTATTAGTCTAACATCGTAACTATTTATGTAGTAGTATTCATCAAACCCTAGCAGGGAGATTTTGTAAGCTAACCCGAAAAGGGCTAAAATATTCAGTAGGCTTTACTGTCTAATTTCTGACTGAGATGAATGAATAAGATTAAATCATTATTACGTAAGGTATCCAAACCTTTACCATAGTTACGAATAATGTAACAGCCCGTTTATGTTATATTCACAGAATATATACATATGAATGTATATTTATATTTAAGCTACCGCAGTTTGTTTGTTTTTTTAGTTGAGTACTCTAATATCTGAAATTACCTCTACTACTTTGAAAAAGCTTTATGCATTTGATAGCTCATTTCTTGTATTAGAAAATAGGAAAATAGAGATGAACTTGCCTATCCTGGATCTACGGGTAGATCGTGGTTCGGCGTCAGGCGTAACAGCAAGCAGCCGCGGCGGCTCACCTTTCTTGAACCACCGCATTCTTCCTCACTGGTTACTTCATTTTATTGTCACTGTAACAATGAACATTAGTACATCGTAAGAGATTCTATAATTTAAAGCTTTCCAGCAACAAGAAAGAAAGAAAGAAAAATCGTTTATTTTGGCAATAATACAACAGTTTGAACAATTGCAACTTGGATTACCAACGATGCCAAAAACGGACCCAATTCAGCCTTATGTCAGATGGAAGCCTGACGCTGGTTTTCAATTGGGCCCAAAATGATGCTAACATATAATAATCAATTACAACAACAAAATAATAATCAATTATACCGTTGTTTTCATGATAAATTTAAGTCATTAATGAACTACCACAATTATTTGTACGTTGGTGCATAACCTTTGGTACCACATCCAGGAAGAGAGGGCTGTGTCAAATTGAATAAAACTACACAGTTTTGTATCACGAAGCTAATAGCCGAACAGATTAGCTCTGAAACCAGCCGGGGCTTTGTTCGTTTCGGCAAAAACCCAGGTTTTTTAGGCAACAGCCTGCAACACGAAGCACTGCAGTCTTAATAAGTCGAACCATCTACAGAAATACAATATTTTCGATATCATGCTTATGTTCTTGAAAGGACTTTAGAGTACCTTCTAGAGAAGCAAGCGGGAAACATTAGCGCGCTGCAGATGTATCTAAACCTCTAATGCGATACTGTCTTGCGGTTGCTTTGGAGATCGGCGGTTTGCTGTTCTATCCTTTATGTACAAATATGTTAAATATTTTAATATATTTTCAAGTTTCTCAGTCTATCTGCTACAACAAAAATACTGTATGCCAGTCGTTAAGTACCAAGATGATGTCGAAATAAGCAGTAGTTATCTGCTAAAGTGCTCCAACCATTGAACACTCACAGTCATTACGTCCCGACAGGTTTCTTAACTTGTCCGTCTCCTTTTACGATACTATTTGCACATACCAACATATTTCTACAAGGACCTCAGGTACCAGCTTGCGCAAGAACAAAAAAATTGAATATCAATTATTTGTTGAACGTACTTCAGAAGTCAGTAGGTACTTAAGCTTGTGAAATAAAACTGTAGGTCAAGTTCCAAATATAAGTAATTTACATTTGTTACATTTTCACAGGAATATAATTAACCAATCATTAAATTAGGGTAGTTAATCTATTGCAAAGGTAGCAGGATTTTATTTGACCGAATAACATTTTAAACATAACTGCACAACATTGAAATGGGTGATAAATAATGGGTAATGGGATAATGGGTATTTGAGAAAATAATGGCACATTTACGTTTTTTGGCTAAGGATTGCAAATAAAGAGCACTTTCGAACACTGACTGTAGTTATTTGATGGATAAGTATTCGATTTTGAGTGTAATGTATTTGAGTGTGAGATTCGGTCTTCAATCAGTATAAACGAATCCCTTCAGTACATCAAGTTGAAAAAAAACAGTCAATCAAAAGAAACAGTCAATAGATCGCATTTTAGTTGAAGTTTCTTTGGACTACAAGAACTTATTTATTTACAATCTGAGTTCTTCCAAGTGTCACCCTTGTGACTTAACAGTTAATTTATGTGTATGTATAATTTTATCAAATATTACTTTATAACTTTATTTATAACTATATATATATATTTATAACTTTTAGTAGTGTGTTAATGCAGTAAATAGTATACTACATTTTTTTATATATACTACATTATATAAAAAAAATGTGTTGTAGAATTTGCCTTTGATCGACCAAGATACTTATTAACCAATTTACGTCTAGAAATATAATAATATCAGCAAAAAACAAAGTCCTTTCCTTTCACGTTTACTGACAGGATCGATGATAGTTGATTAGTATCTTTTTTTTTATATCATATCACACTTCTTTAAGTGTGATATATGATATATTCTTGTATGCAACACTGCAAGCACATTCAAATATTCCCTTCCTGTTGGACGATCCACGTTATAAATTCCAGTATTAAATGACCCACATGGTTACCATCGATCATGAATACATGGTTATCACAGCTCATTGCACTATCGAACAAATTCCTCAACCATTATAATATTGTTACTGATTCGTTACAACAAGACATCCAGCTATCCATCAACAAATCGTATCATAAGAATCGAAACTAAACTCGATTACAATAATCACGTAACTAGTAACCTTGCTAGTTATAGCGATAGCATTACCAATGTTGTGTAACTAATCGATTTCTGCACCAATCGATTCTTGGAAAGACTTGAAAGGTAAGTTAAGGTTTTGATAAACAGGCTTGTCAATTAGTAGGTATAATTGAAACAGTAATTACCTTTAATGATTGACATTTTTATCGGTGACACCGTTTATTTATATTTGGTGAAAAGTCGCGCGACCTTACTAGATAACCTTCTTGTCTAAGTGTAACGAGATAAAATATTAATAGTTAATAAGTAATCAAATTGACTAACTTGAGTAACTTAATTTAAAAAAAAGAGACAAACATTTTACTTTTTGGAAAACGGATGTTCATAATATGTATGCTTAAAAACAAAAAAATCGATAAACGGTTGGTTGTGTTCACTGAGGCGGATGACGTTTTCTACAATGTTTCTGAATATAAATTATGCAGGAAGTGGGCAAAGGAACCGAAGTGAATACTGTCGCATTACTAATGTGTTTTGCGGAATCTGATTCACGCATATCGGCCCTGCACACACAAAGCACTTTTTTTTCTTTTCTAACACTTATTTGTACGACTCAGCTTGTGCTTGTAATCGAACCGACATTACGCTGAACATTAGTTTATTCTCAGGACTACAATTATTTGATCCTGAACTCCCGAGAATTAATAGAAATTAGAGTAGCAGCTGTACCTACCTAATTTTCAATGCCATTCTTAGTCAATACACTTACAATAAAAATTATAAAGTAAGATATCCAAGGAGATACAAAATATTTACGTGGCTTTAAAGGTACATATTTAAAAAACAATACCTTTTGGATTATTTATGTATCTTTTTTCTTTTAATGTTAATTTGTAGTGACTCTATTTGTATAAAGTTATTAAATGCTTACAAGGTTTAAAGTATGTAAACATTTAAACAATCCTAGAACAGGCTGGCCTTGGGACCGTAATCTCAAAAAATAGTGTAGTACAGTGAAATTAGTCTCGAGAAATTTTTGCATATGTAGTGGTGTGTATATTACTCAGATCTAAGAGCGCGTTTCCACTATATCGTTCTGGCCTATACAAAAATGTTTCGATATCCTAACATTACTATTTAATTTTATACTTATCCCTAGCAACACTCTGATTTTTGTTTTCAATAAAAACAAGTTTTTATTTTAAAGAAAAAGGTTTTGACTTTATAAAAAAAAAGGTGTGTGTGCGATTCACACACGATAGAAGTGAAACTTCAAAGAGGAGAGACCGAGATTTTAATTTTTTTTTTTTTTTCCTTTCATCTAGGTTTTTAAAACTCCGGGGGATCTACGGGGGGTCAACATTTTTGATATTTTTGGCCTAGGACGCACCGTTGCCGAGATATTTCAATCTAAAGCAAAAAATCGTCACTTGATAGTGGAAAGTGGAAACACGCACAAAACCAGAATAAACCAAATAGACCATACACTACTACAAACGCAAAAAAATCTCCAAGCTAATTTACCTGTAAGCGGTTTAAATCCTATAAATATTAGCTTCGCATAATTTTATAAACCATTATACCTTTATAACTTTAACTTCAAAGGTAAATTTACAGATAACATCTTCTCTAGATATTCAATAAGGAAACTGTGATAGAACAGATAACAATCATTCGATCAGTGCAGCGTTATGGTTTATTTTCTTATCATGAATTCAAATTCGTTTTAAATTGCACAACACGAAAGAAAAGTAAAGATTGTGAAGTGCTCACTACCTCTGACTGTGGAGAACAATGGAACGCATACGATACCCATCGTTATTATCGGTATTACAGAATTGTATTCTGTGGAACTTTCCCATCTAACTTGATAATAGCGTTATGCAAGGAAGACTATTCCATTGCAAGTTCGATGGGACTCACAAACTGACACGTAAAAGAAGCATTTCGTTAAATTCAAGGATTGTGTTCTATTCGTGTTATCGCTTATACGTACAATGTTGTTTAACCTTCCTAAATGTTCGAATTTGATAAAAAATATTGGTTAAAAAATATTGATTCAAACTCGAAATGTTTAAGATTTCAAGTAAAGCTACAATTGCCGTAACAGATGTTAAAATATGACACTATGTTTATTAACCACTTAGCGTAACTAAGATAAGACAACGATGTTTCATAATAATAAAATTAATCCACTATTCATAAACATGCAATTTTTTTTTTAATAGAACTAAACTTGATTTTCTCATATTGTTAACCAATATTCCTGTCACACTCGTCAATGCTCTGTATTAACGAATTCTACCAATAAAACACCGCAGAGGTCTAGTAACGAGGACTTGTAGTGGGTGGAAAATAGGTGTACAATGAATGTTCAAGTACACTGGTCACTGAAATGAAATCTTCAAAACTTAATTAATTATAGCTGAAGCCCGACCACAGCGTGATCTCTAAAACCACTAATCAATCCAGCACTCACGTGAGTATATCTTAATTGGATATGGGAATGCAGATCCACTATGTAGAATTATGCCGTTAAATTGCCCATTTCGTTATTTGAAAACCGAAAAATATTTCGCAATAGTTTTATGGGAACCGTTGTAAATCGAAATGTACGTGTCCATATAACCTTTATGATTCATGAATACTTGTATGTACTTCCGAAATGATGTAATCTAGGATGACTGTTATTTTTACGAACCTTAAAATTGCGTACTTTTAGGAATGAGTGAGTAAGTAGGTACAGTTTAGTAAGTTCATTTTTTTTTACTTAATCATAAAAAAAAGAGAAAAGAGACAATAATAATGTATTCTTTGAACAGGATTTTATGCTTTCCAGAGTACAATCTATTTCTGTAGAATAGACTGCATTCTGTATTCCCAAAATC